CTCTCAGGCCCCGCCCCGGACCTGCAGGGAACCGACCACGCAGGTGACCAGAACCCAGAAGGTCCTGTTGAAAGTGCAGGTTGGAGAGGCCCTGTTCTGGGGCACACAGACTGGGAGTCCACCGGCAGAAAAGCTTGGAATCTAGGAAGGCAGCCTTGGAATTCTGACCCTGGTCCTCCTTTCCAGAGCCCGTTTGCTGAAAAACAGAGAGAATAATATTACCATTTAACTCGTAGGTTGTTGGAAAGGTTCAACATAGCATTTAGGGAAAGCGCCCTGCAGCTGGAGGGAGTCCCGCATGACATGATGTGGTGTGTGAAAGTATTGAGCATTTACTATGTGCCAGCTCTTTCCAAGGCAGCTGCCAGCCCGCTTGGAGCTTCGCAGTGCTGTACTTACTGAGCTGCCCTTAGTGCAAAAAGCAGTCTGTCTCGGAAGGAAACCACTGTCCCCCACTGCCAGGAAAATGCCAGCCCTTCCCTGAAGGAGCAAGTCCATTCCCTAGAACCCAGAAACCCCACATCCGGAGCCCAACTCCGCCACAAACTTGCTCTGTCTTCTCGTTGCTACTCCGGGTCTCCCACAACAAAGGGGCTGGAGGAGAGTTATCTTTCCCTCTCCCCAAAGCTGGGTCACCTGCTGGCAGAGAAGCCAAGACTGGAAAGACTACTCCATGGCAGGCCCTTCCTGAACCCCTAATAGCAGTCAACCTCAAAACGAAACAACAAAACCCTAAACCCACTTGGTTCCCACTCACAGCAAACCCCATATGACAGGGTAGAACTGCCCCCTGTGGGTTTCTGAGACTGTAAAATCTTACATCTTTAGAATCTGACAGCCCAGGATCCGGAAGCAGGTGGGCATTTCCTTACTCTGTGCCTTCTCCCCCACCAAAGCACGGCACCTTTCCCCTCTGGTGTTGGCACCTGCAGCGCCAGCAGGCAGCGTGGCTTCCTAGTCCCTTGAACCTCATTGTGGCTTGAGCCTAGGGTGGAATTCAAGGTAGGAGCTCAGGGACAGGCAGGCCGGCTCTGTGGTGCCTTTGCCTCTCCTGACACCCCGTCCCTGATGTCATAACTGGGTAACTATGACAACCTTTGGTGGGACAGCTGAGCACTTCACAGAAGAACCTAGGACCCTCATTTCTGAAGTGAGATTAGGAAGAGGAGATGAACAATTCCCTGGATTACCTGGCCTACCCTGTCATCGTCTCTAATCACAGGCAGAGCACAACCTTCAGGAGGAAGCTGGACTATGGCCACTACATATGTCACAAGAATAGAATACAAATAGGTACGGGGCAATTTGGGCTGGCTACTGCTATTAGGAAGGGGGCCCAGTGGCATCATGGGTTACAAGTTAACCAGCAGGTCGGCAGTTCGCACCCACCAGCTGCTCCACAGGAAAAAGATGACGCGGTCTCTTTCCATGGAGTTGAATCTCCGAAACCCACAGGAACAGTTCTACCCTGCCCTATTAGGTCACGAGGAGTCAGCATTGACTCAATGGCAGTGAATTTGAGGGTTGTTGTTTTTTTTTAATTTTAGTTTGACTGCTTTCAGGGAAGCCAGCGCAGTTTGTGAATTGGCAATGACATAATCTCCTCTGTGGTGTCTTCAGCAGACATTAGAATCAGTAACAACATTTAGCTACCACCTGGGAGTTCACTTGATGTAAACACTCATTTAAACTCTCTCCAGCTGAAGGAACCTAGAACGAGACTAGGGTTTTAGCACCCAATCAGCAGTCTTGTAACACTGGGGGAGGGGGAGAGAGAGAGAGAGAGAGAGAGAGAAGAGAGAGAGAGAGAGAGAGAGAGAGAGAGAGAGAGAGAGAAGAAAGAGAGAGAGAGAGAGAGAGAGAGAGAGAGATGGGAAGGGCATTTATCTTTGTGGTGTTGATGTTTTCTGGCCCCTTATCATTTGATTGTCAGCGCACACTCTTCCCAGGTGCCAATCCGAGGCAGTAAATGAACCTTCTTGTGCTGGATGAGGCTCAGAACTCAAAACCATGCTTACGTGCTGGCAGTCGTCTCCGGAACGTGGGTGGGTTCTCTGAGGAACCCCTGTGCTATAACTTGGCGCTCTTTTGTCTCTCTAGTGAAACCTGCTGTTGACACCAACCCCCCCATGACGCACACAAACCACATCTTAAAACTGAGCAAACTACAGGTATTTGTTCTTGCCATCTGCAGCTGCATTTCCCTCTGTTTCCCCTCTGTCCTGAGTCCCTGGGTGATGCAAACAGTTAATACGCTCGGCGGCTAACTGAAAGGTCGGCAGTTCGGGCCCACCAGAGGTACCTCAGAAGAAAGGTCTGGTGCTTAACTTCTGGAAAACGGCCATGGACCATCCTGTGGGGCACCTGTCTACTCTGACACACACTGAGCCAGAAGGGATTGGACAGCAGTCCAACAACATGGTTGGCTGGCCGCTAGCTCTAGTCTAAAGACACCCAGGTCTGGGAGCCTTCTAAGTGCCCATCCGAAGCAGCCCTGGTGGCCTAGTGGTTATGCATCGGGCTGTGATCCACCAGCTCAGCAGTTTGAAACCACTAGCCATTCTGGGGGAGAGACGGAGATCCTGATCCAGTAAAGAGCAAGAGTCTCAGAAATTCGCAGGGGCAGTTTCTATCCTGCCCCACAGGGTAGCTGTGAGTTGGCATCGACTCAATGGCAATGAATTGGCTGGAAGTGCCCAGCTAACCCAAAGATTCGTGAGTCCACCTCACCCCCCTCCGCAGCACGCCAGATTTCTTAACAGTCCATCTCAGTCTCTGCGGTGACCCTCAGAGAGCCCCCTTTGCACCTCCCCCGGAGAGGGGTGATGCTCGTCCCCGTGTGTTGAAACAGGCGCGGTGGGGTTTCTTACCAGGGTGAACAAAAGAAGATCGACAAAATCGAATATGAAAATAAGCAACTGTGTCAGAAAATCGCTAATGCCCACCGGGGCCCCGCCAAGGTGGACTGCTGGAACGAGTATTTTTCCAAGAGGTAGTGTTCGCCCGCTTTCATCTCCAGAAGGTCCCCACTCCTTGTGGGGTTCTAATGCGAGGATCCCCCAAAGGAGAGAAAAACTTAAGAGGACTTATCTTAAGGGACCTCCACTGAGACCCTGTTTTGGAGGACGAAAACTCCCAGCCCCGGGCCCCTGCTCGGTGATTTCAGCTCTTACGGCCTCGAGGGAGTCCTAGCTGGCATGTGCTGCAATTTGTAAATGATGATCCAGCATTGATAACATCTGTTTCACAAGTATTTCCTGACCTACTAGGCACTAGGCCTGGGGAATACTCAAGGTCTGGTGGGAGAGACTTTTATGTAAATAATGAGGTCGTGTGACTAAGAAGAATTTAGCAGGGTCTGAAATTCAGTGGGTGGGGATGGATGGATGGGGATGGGGAAGTGCCCGGATGCATTTCTATATTCTCAGCTCTATTCTGAAAGGGGGTTGAAAGCAGAAGAGAGTGGGGTCAGAGCCATTTGTGTTGTAGCCCCCCTCCTCCATTCTCAGTGTGGGTTTCACATTACAGACACCTGGGACCCAGCCCAGGTTCCACCCCACCCCGGACTACCAAGTAGACTCTTCGAGTTCTGGGCAGCCAGTAAGGAATCACTGATCGAAACCCACAGGTTCTTTGCATGTTTCAACAGCCAGGTAGCCTGAGGTCTCAGGGTTTGGGGATACAGTGTGCTCCCCACCCCAGGGCAGCCTGCGAATCAAGATTTCAGGACTGCCTCTTGCTTCCCAGAAGAGCATTGACTTCTTCACCCATCTCAGGTTTTTGTGTCTTTCAGCTTAAACCGAGAAGCAAGGAACCGGGAGCTAGTGAGAATCACCGTGGAAAATCAGGGCATTCTGAAGAGGCTCGGTGACCGCAAACCCCACTACGACCGCAGGGCATCTGAGATAGACTGGCAGGCACGTGGGCACTGTTCTTCCTGAGCACACACAGGCTCCTAGCAGTGTTTAGAGGAGAGAGAGTCTAAAGAGGGAGCCCCTGGGCTGCTGAGGAACAGATCAAGTGAACCGCAACAATTGTTCAGAGAAAAACCTCAGGAGTGAGCAGAGCAGAGCGACTGACAAGAACAAACCATCAAGCAAATAGCTCACGAAATCTCCTTGGTAGCAAAGCTATTATGTGTCAGTTTCAGAAACTAGTTTATAGCTTCATCTCGCATCCCTTAATTCTTTGAGACAGGCTACATGTACAAGCAGAGGAGGATGGGTACAGGATCCAGTTTGTGGTGGATTTGCTTTGTGTAGGGATAACCCTTCTCTTAAGAAGCAGGGTGGAGGGGAGCCAGTGCTGGCGTTTGAACTATTTCTGATCCCGGCTTAGGTCTGTAAACCTTTTCTTAGTCACCTCTGGGATGGCTAGCTTGGCTTTCGCCCCAGCTCTCTAGTGTTGACATAAATCGACCTTTTTCTCTCTCTCTCCTTTAAGAACTCAAGACGCTACATCAGAAATACGACAAGGTATCTTCTCTCCCAAGATGAATAGGTATGTCAGCATGTAGCTGCTCTTGACTACAGGACATCCTAATCCTCGCTGCACTTAAAAAGCCCAGGGAACTGTACCGATGGGGAGCCAGGGGCCCGGTTAAGAGGACGGATTTTGCTCTTTTCATATAATATTGGCCATCCAGCCTGCAACTTAGAGCTAGTTCCCGGGCCTCCCTCACTCCGTAGAACTAGGGGAGGATGTCGTCTTTTCTCATCCCACTCAGTTTGTTACCAACTTTGAGAAGTGATTTGTTCCCATCGGACATACATGTTTCTTCCTGGCTTTAATGTTGTGCCAACGTGATGGGCGGGTTTCTGTGAGGATTCCGTAGGATGGCCAGGGTGGCTTTCTGCATATTGTAACGCTGTTAGGGCTGACTGTTTTTGCTTTGTTTGAGGGTTGGGGATAAATGGACATCCAGGCTCTCCAAAGGACAGTTCTAGACACTAATGCTTTTCCCCCTCTTTCCGCCCCCTTCCCCCCACTAAATGCAAGATTTGTCACCAGGGGAAGAATCTTGAGAAGGCCCTGGGATTTCTTAGCTGCTTAGAATCGCAAGACACTCCCAAATGGCTTGAGCACTCAATCTTAGGATGCTACAATAAAGCTTGGAACATAAACCGAGTCCGTTCCATTTAAGATAACCTACTTCAGTTGACTTTTAAGGCAATTAAAAAGGGTGTACATTCTCACCCCAAACCCGAGACAGAAAGAGATGGAAAGACGCATGAGTATTTCTAGGTGGGGTCCCTGGAACGAGAGAGGGAAAGAGAATGGTAGAGCGAAAGAGAACACTTTAACCCTTTCAACATACATCATCACCATCATGGGGGGAAGAAAAGTTTGAGTGAGAGGGTCCAGCCACAAGTTCAATTCGGTCCAAAAGGGGATGGAAAGCACATGACAGTGTTAAGGGTCAGACGGCACAGAAAACAAATGCCACGGGAGGAAAGTCTTCGTGGGCAGACAACACTGGAGAAGAGTGCTTTGTGGAAATAGCCATGCATTCACAGGGCAGCAATAGTAAAACTCAAAAATATCTAAAAACACGGGGAGACTATGCCGCATGAGTTTGCAGGCTGACTTTGAGTCTGACTTTTTTTCCCACCTTTTTATTTCGATACAATAATGGATTCATGGGAAGTACAAAGCAACGTACAGCGAGGGCTCCTGCAGCCTTCCCCCAGCCTCCCCCGTGGTCACATCTTGTATAACTATAAGACAATAGCAGACCGGGTATTGACATGGGTGCACTTTATAGTGCATGTTCCAATTTTACCAGTTCCAGATGCACTCCTCGGTGCTGTGTGTAACTTTGTGATTTTATCACAAGTGTAGCAACCACCACCACCTAGCCACCCCTATTAGCCACAGGCATTCTCTTCCCTGCCCCTCCCTAGTCCCTGCCGTCCATCTCTACCGTTACATTGTTTCAGGAATGCTCGATAAGTGGAATCATACACTATGTATCCATTCTAGTTGGGCCTTCCCTCCTGGGCCCCCACTATTCAATATTGTTTCCTTTCAGTTCATCTAAGCCAGCGGTTCTCAACCTTCCTCACGCCAAGACCCTTGCATACAGGTCCTCATGTGGTGGTGACCCCCAACCATAACATTATTTTCGTTGCTACTTCATCACTGTCATTTTGCTACTGTTACGAATCTGGTGACCCCTGTGAAAGGGTTGTTTGACCCCCTCAAAGGAGTCGCGACCCACAGGTTGAGAACCACTGATCTAAGCGGTCCCATGTACAAATACTTCATTCCTTCCCTGGTAGGAATGGGCCACAGATAGTATAACTATGTACCTACTGAAGGGCCTTTGGGTAATTTCTTGCCTTTTGGCTATTATACTTGGGCACACGTTTCTACATGAAAATGGAGTATTTTTCTAAGCTACATATCCAAGAGTACTGGATTTTATGGTTAGTCCTTTTCTATGAACTACAAAATTCTTCTAACGTAGCCGTACTGTTTTACATTCCCACGGCCTTATACAAGCATTCCAGTCTCTCCGCAGCTGCATGGACGTTTGATGTGATCGCATGTGGGGCTCTGACCTGCGCTGTCTTTTCATTCACTAATCACTGGCCAGGCAGACCCTCGTCCAGGTGCTGATTTGCCGTGTGTGGATCCTCTGCAGGGACATGTCTTCGGCGATGTTCTGGAGTTGTGTGGGGTCCTTTTTTCATATCACATTTTGGGACTTCCTGAGATCTTCCAGATCAGCAGTCGGCAAACTTTGGAGAAGAAAGAGCCAACCCTGTCCTTCACAATTTAAAAATTATTTGAAAGCCATAAATGCGTATTTTAAGAATGAAATCATTATCTGAATAATAGCCTTTGAATTTTTTCTGTTTTACTTCAGAGCCACATGCATGTCCTGAAAGAGCCGCACGGGGCTGAAAGCCCGTTTGTGGGCCCCTGTGCCTTTGTCAGCTGTGCCGTGTGTTGGCTCTGTGCTTGGCAACTGTTTCCTCCCAGGCTATGCCGCCTTGCCTCCTCCTTACCAGGGCAAAGGCTTTTCACTTTGATGAAGCCCAGTTTATTGATGGAACACTTGTTTATCTGACCTATATCAATGTTAGTATGCTAGCTTTGAGATTATATTATAGGCTTGCAAAATGTAACTGGGGGGGCGGGAGTTGGATAAGAGTACATGGGATGTTGTATATCTGCATGTGAATCTGTACTTGGCTCACAATAAAAGATTAAATTAAATCAGTAGGTCCAAGCATGAATTCTAGCCGGCTCCGGATCATCTGTTAAAAGAACCCCCAGGGAATCTAGGACAGATGAACCTCTCAGGACCAGGGGTGACAGTGGCGATACCAGGAGGGAAAGGGGGTGAAGAAAGGGGGAATGGATCACAGGGAGCTACATATAACCTCCTCTCTGGGGGACGGGCAGCAGAAGGGTGGGTGAAGGGAGACGCCGGACAGTGTAATATAAGATACAATAATAATTTATAAATTATTAAGGGTGCATGGGGGAGAGGGGAGGAGGAAGGGAAGGGGAGGGGGGAAAAAAAGGAAAATGAGCTGATTCCGGGAACCCAAGAGGCAAGAGAATTTTGGGAATAATGAGGGCAACAAATGTATAGATGTGTTTTATACAATTGATCTATGTATTGTGATGAATTGTATGAGCCCCAATAAATTGATTTTAAAAAAAAAGAACCCCCATTCTTTAGACCTCCGGGCTAGAAATTGGGTGGGGGTGGGGGGGTTTCACCTTTTCCTTCACGCCCATTCTCATCCTCCCTCGCTCCCTGTTGTGGGGGTCCTGTGCTGTCAAATCAAGTGCAAGAACTGCCCATAGGGTTTCCTAGGCTCTCATTGTCATGGGCACCCATCATCCAGGCTTTTCCCCAACGGAGCCTCTGGGTTGCTAACTGAATAACTGACCTTTGGGTTCACAGGCAACCACCAGGGTGGCAACAATGGGCTCGAAACAGCAATCATTGTGAGGAAAGCACAGACCGGGCAGGGTCACTATGAGTCGGAACCAACCAGGCAGCAGCAGCAGGGACGCCTCGCTCTCGTATGGGCCACCACCGCCACTAGGCACATGGTCTCAGTGACACAAAAATGTGTCCCCGCCACACTCCGGCTTATCAACGTCAATGACTTACCATTGCTTCCAGAATGAGCCACAGCTCTTAATCCGCGAGGGCCCCTCCATTCTTCAAGTAACAGAGACCACATCTGGTCACCTTACCCTAGTCCCCGGTTCCTAGCCAATTCAATTCCCTGATGGGCGGGATGGGACTCGGAATTGCATTTACACACCTTCCACTGAAATGTATTCGTGACCAGATGCATCTCTCTGGAGCAGACCCCCCTGTCCCCTGGGGGCCCTGTCCTGTTCACCCTCAGGGATGCCGCAGCTGTTGACGTGGCTTGTCTGGGGGATTGGGAAGCCGCCCGCACAGGAAACAAAGCAGGCAGTGCTTGTTCATGCCGGTTTCCTGGTATCTAACAGAGTCGGCCTAGGGCAGCGGTTCTCAACCTGTGGACATGACCCCTTTGGGGCTCGAACAACCCTTTCACAGTGATGAAGTAACAACAAAAATCATGTGATGGGTTGGGGTCACCACCACATGAGGAACTGTGTGAAAGGGTGGTGGCATGAGGAAGGTTGAGAACCACTGACAAGTGTGTGAGCAATTGCAATCTCCGCAGGCCAGTATGAGACGCCAAAGTGAAGGCCAGGTGGATGGGGTTTGCCAGATGCCGGAGGACCCGCCCCCCAGGTGGAGCTTGCTAAGTCGTGGCCTGATAAGGGATTCTCTGAAGTGATTGGACCAGGAGTGTTTTCCTGTCCTGAACTACTTAAGACCAACTGGCTTGGTTTCAAATCCCACCTCTGGAGATTCTGGGGCTGCCGAGAAGTCGCCACGAAAGTTCTGTGGGTGTTAACGTATTTAGGCGGCGCTACCAGGTGAGCTGTGAGTGTCCTGGTGTCTGGAGGGAGACTTCCAAATGGATAGCACGCCCCCTTCTCCCAGCACTTCCCTCGCAGCCTGGATGCCTCTTCGACTTGAGTGACCAGCTGGAAGTTTACACCCAGGTAAGGCTCTCTCTCTCCAGCAATCATGGCCACGCCGTGTACTGTTATAAATGCCAGTTGTGAACACGTTCCTTTCTTCTAAGTCAGTTATTGACCAGGTAGCTTCCATCGTTGTTGTTGTTGTAAGGTAGTCGAGAGGCGCCAGAAACCGAATCAGCCAAATTAGAGCAAACAGGTTTTATTGGGGAGAAAAACCCAGCCTGGGCGAAGTCCCACAGTCCACAACGTCCAGGCTGGGGGAGTCGCACTGCAGGCTACAGGGGTGATGCTTATATGGACAGGTGTGCCCAGGTTTCTGGAATGTAAGGTGTCTTCCTGGTTCCGGGTGTATTCATGCCGGGTGCAAGAGAGGTGGGCGAGAACAAAGCAGGCACTGAGTCAAACGGGCCGTGCTGGGTGCAGAGTGGAGGGTCGAGAGCAAAGTGGGCACTGAGCCAAACGGGCCATGCCGGTGCCGGGTGCGGGAGCGTTGGGTCGAGAACAAAACGGGCCATTAGCCAGCTCTGGTCAGCTCCGCAGATGTGTGTGGGAGATTCAAGGCCACTTGCTGCTAGTTGTTTCAGCTAGCTCTGGTCAGCTCCGCAGGGGTGGGGGAGATTCAAGGCCACTTGCTGCTAGGAGCCGGCCTGGTATTGATCCGGCTATATATTCCCAACTCTTTGGTGATAGGGGAGGCGACTCTTCTGGCTACTTCCTGCGGGTACTGGGACGGCGTGGGAGGGGCTTACTGGTTGGGAATGTCTGGCTCCTGTGGGAGAGGACTGTAAGGGTGCAATAACATTTGATTAACAGCAACATGAGAAATTTTTTGCATTCGGTTGTGAAGAAAGTTCAGCAAACAGGGGCCAGAAGTAGCAGAGTGAAGTTATAAGAGGGGTTATTAAGGGAGCAACCCAACCGATGAATGGATTAGACCACCAACCTCTTTGTAAGATGCTGGGGGGGGGGGCGTCTCACCAGATAGCTTTTTTCCCAACTTACGAAGTTTGTTTATAGTGGTTTCCACCAACCCAGATTCGTTAACATAATAGCAGCCCTTATTCAGGTATACAGTATACACATTTTCCCTTTATCGGCCGTTAAGAGGTCTAGGGTTTTTCTGTTTTGTAAGGCTACTTGGGCTAGGGATGTTATTTGGTGCTGTAAGCGATTTAAAGATAATGCAGGGTTTTTTAATTGCCGCTTGCAGTTTGGAGGACCAGCTTTTGAAGAGCTCAGAGAGTGGGACAGGGCTCCTGCCCCCATTCCTGAGCCAACCAAGGAAGAGGTTACCGCTAAACCAACCATGACAGGGAGAAACACCGCCCGTGTGTGTCTGGTGGTGCCATGGGAGGGGTTTTGCAGAGCACTGACCTCAGGGACTGTGTACATAGTTCGCTGGGGAACCAGGGTGTTTGCTGTACATAGATGGGGTGGGGAAGGAGTGGAAAGGTTTTTTATCAGGGTGCCATTGCACCAAAAGAATCCGCCTGGGGGGGCATTGAGGGGGAAAGTGAGGTTACTTGCGGTGTTGTTACAACCTTGTCCCTGGTCGGAATAGCAAAATGGCCATTTTTTAGCAGTGGGTTGTGGAACAGGGGAACTTTAATTACTGGTGGAAAGGCATTTTTTTCCATGTAGTTAAACGGTTGAAGTAAAGGTACTGCTGCCAGAGGAGCTCTATGGAGGGCAGCACAAAGGAAAGAAGAGGAAAGATTAACCAGGTAGGAATTGTTAAGAAGGGCTGCCCCTTCTTGGATAACGGTGAGCCAAGAAAAAGGTTTTTCCTTGGACCTCTGTCCTGTAACCTGTTTTTGAAGTTCTTGTTGGACTTTCTGGATTAGCGGGTTTGATCAGCCAGCCAGTGTGTATGTCAGCACGATAGATATATAACCTGAGAATGGCGTTTTCACCATGGCTGGAGTCCAAGGTCAGGCGCAGGACGAGTTTTAACTAGGACTTGGTTTCCTGGGGAGAGGTTAGGGGCTGGGTGCCCAGAAGAGGTGTTTTTTACGTCCGGAAGGTGTTGGTCTGCGTAGGACCTGAGTGAATTGCGGAGCAAAGATAGAGTGGGTAAGTAAGTGGAGTTTCACTCTGAGGCAGAGAATAGTTTAGGACAAATGGACGGCCGTATAGAATTTTAAACGGGCTGAGACCCGTGGGCTCCCTGGGGGAAGTCCGGAGGCGGGTTTAGGCCAAGAAAGGCTACGGAGAGCTTAGTTAACTGGGACTTTATAAGTTCGTTGGCGCGCTTAACCTTGCCTGACAAAGGGGGGAGGGCGGGGTGATAAGGAATATGTAGCTTCCAATCCACTCCCAGGGTGGCTGAGACCTGTTGGGACACCTGTGAACTGAAGGTTGGGTGACAGGATAGCGTGTGGAAGGCCAAACCTAGGGATTACAGATTTTAGGAGCGTTTGAGCGACAACATTTGCTGTCTCCCGGCTGATAGGGAATGCTTTAATCCTCCCTGAAAAGGTATCCACCAAAGTTAGCAATTATTTAAGATGTTTCTGTTTAGGCATGTGCGTAAATTCAATTGCTCAGTCCTCACCGGGGAGGTTTTCACGGAATTGGCGGAGGTCTCTTGGAGGCTGAATCTTGCTCTGGGAGGAGCGGCTGGTCCCAGGGTGGCGACAGCGGCAAACAGGCGATGGGCAGCGTGAGGCTGCTGAGGTCTTAGGGAAATGGAGGCCTTAAGGCATTGTAAAATGTCTCGTCCGACCAGTGTCACAGGACATGAGGGGATTATTAGGAATGTATGGGAGAAAGGGTATTGGTTTAAGACGCAGAGCAAGAAGGGGTTTTATTGGGTGTTGAGGAGATACCATTAATTCCCATTACAGTGACCGTGGAAGGGAGACGACGCCCGGCATACGAAGGAAGGATGGAATAGCCCCCATGTCCAATAAACCAGAGGGGGACTTACCCGCTACCTGGATGGTGGCCCTGGGCTTGGCTGGGGTTATTGGGGTACCGAGTGCAGGCATCTTCCTCAGCAAGCCCCAGAGGCTCACCAGCCAGGAAGGCCTGTGATGAGGCTCCGGCTGACCCTGGCTGCTGGCACAGCCGGGGGAAGCCAGCGAGCGACAGTCAGACTTCAAGTGCTCTTCCTGGGGGCACACTGGGCGCAGCTTGGTGGGGGGTTGGGGGTTTGGGC